AGTTCAAAATAGACATTTATACACCATTCGATAGACAATTTCAAGAGCTACATTTTGCACTATTTATATTTGAAAAAAGGATTATTTCGATTTTCCGCCTAATTTCCGCCTATATGCCCACTGTGCAGGACCCTCTGGTAACAGGCTAGAAGCTCTAACCACTGAACTATCGAAGCACAGTCTAATTACATTAATCCTCCGTTGTATATGAGGGCTCCATAATGGTAGCATTTTTAAGCACAACGGCCGCAACTCACTTATACTCTTTCCTGTTTGGAATTAGAAGTACTGACAGGGTGATCATTTATTGCTTCTTAAAACATAATTTGATGTAAGCATCAAATTACATCAAATTATGCTTTAAAAAACAATAAAAGTACAAATGACTTTTGTGCTTAAAAAATGCTTCTATTATGCAACGATTATATACAACGGAGGATTAATGCGATTAGACTATGCTTCGATAGCTTAGTGGTTAGAGCATCTGGTCAGAGCGCTGCAGGTTGCCTCTTTTTAGCAACCTATAATCGGACCTATAAGAAATTTCACAACCTAATCCTAACCTATGAAGTCTGCAAACTAGTGCTAGCCTGACCTAACCTATCCTGTGCTTTTAAATCAGAAAAAAATTTCGCTTCCGCAAAAGCAGAAAAAAATCGAAAAAAATTAAAACACAACCTACACCCTAATCTGATCTATAACTTTTCTAACCTAATCCTGAACTAACCTATAGGTTAGATTAGATTAACTTCTGACCTGTTATCAATCGAGGCGCATTTTTTCCCTATGTTTTGTACTAAAAAGCTTCTCGCGGTTTACGCTTCGCTTCAAAACGTATAAAAGTATAAGAAAAATGTCAAAATTCTACAGGATCGTATATCCTGAGCTGATTTTGTGTAAAATCTTATAGAGTTCTACACAATCCCATAATGGTTTTTGAGAAATTTTTTAGGGAATTCTATTATGGAATTCGGAACCTTACAGGATCATATTAACAGTCACTTAAGTTAAAGCATGATATTGTTGAGGATCCTATTATAGAATTAAAGTTTCATCTTCGTATGTAATATTAGTACTTATAATTGTTTGTGCTTTAGTAACATGTCATGACTTCTAAGCGCAGATCGACAAAAGATGTTAACAGCACCTACAATGATAACAACAATAGCAACAACACCATATTCACTGTAAATGATACCGCTATCAAGGTTACAAGCAGTCATCGTAAGCCATGCGGTTTAGACTGGGCTCAGTCAACATGGAAACGTTGGATATATGTTGCATTTTGGTGGTGGCTAAATCCAATTTTGAATATTGGTTATAAACGTAGTTTAACAGACGATGATTTATTTGATTTATCACCAAATGATGAATGTCGTCTATTATTAAAAAGGTTTGAAACAAAATGGGAGAAATGGGAAAATGAGCATGGTGGCTATGCAAACACATGGAAAATTGTTTCGCTGACTTTTTCGAAAGAATTTTTAATAACTGGTTTAATGTTTTTGCCATCTGTTGCTATAAGGATAGCACAACCATTGCTTTTAAAAGAAATTGTTCTTAATATCAGTAATCCAAATGCCCCTACATATGTAGGATATTTGTATGCTGTTGGATTAGGATTAGCAGTGATGCTTCAATCATTTATTCATCAACAACTGGGTTTTCGTACAACAAGGATTGGAACACAAATACGTATTGCAATAACATCCACAATTTATAAGAGGGTGTTAAATCTACGAGAAAATGCGTTTATGAAAACAACAACAGGACAAATAGTTAATCTAATTGCAAATGATGCAAGCAAATTTGAAGAATTAGGTCTTTATATACATTATCTGTGGGAAGCTCCATTAGAGGCATGTATTGTATTTGGTCTGATCTGGATCAATATCGGCATTCCAACTTTATTTGGTTATGCTGCTTTACTACTATTAATGCCAGTACAAGTATTGTTTAGTAAAAAATTTCAAACATATCGTAAAAATACAGTAAAATGGACTGACGAACGTGTAAAAGCAATAAATGAAGTCATAGTTGGCTGTCAAATTGTAAAAATGTATAATTGGCAAAAATCACTTGAAGACTCTGTTTATGATATACGAAGTAATGAGTTTAAAAGTATTCGAAAGGCCAGCCATATTCGGGCTATCAATCTGGCTATTTACTTTTCGTCCTTAACATTAATCTTATTAGCTACGTTTGGTGGTAGCTGGTTAATGGGTCAGACATTAACGCCTGTTAACATATTCACTGTATTCGCATTTTTCAGCGTGATACGAATACAAGTAACTTTGTACTTATTACTTGCAGTTGAAAAACTAAGTGAAAGTTTAATAGCATCAAAACGGATCGATGAATTCATGAGTATAAGTAGACAGACCAATGAAAATAAAAAACAAAGTTTTATTAATAACAATTCCAATGGTATTTCAGGAAGTATTTTTATGGATAAAGCTTCATTCTCATGGAACACTGATCAGTTAATTTCACTAGTTGACATTGATCTGGATGTGAAACCCGGTTCATTAGTTGGGATCATAGGACCCATCGGATCATGTAAATCATCATTGCTAGCAGCAATTGTAAATGAAATGTCACTTGTAAAAGGTACTAGTCAGATATATGGTTCCTTTGCTTATGTATCACAGACATCTTGGATATTTGCTGGTAGTGTGCGTGAAAACATTTTATTTGGACAACTATTGAATGAACAAAAATATAAACGTGTGTTACAGGCCTGTTGTTTAATTAATGATCTAAATTCATTACGAGCAGGTGATTTAACCGTAATTGGTGAAAAAGGTGTGAATTTAAGGTTAGTAATTATCTATTAAATGACTGTTAATGTGCACGTGCCACGTATCTCTTTTAAGTGGTGGACAAAAAGCACGGGTATCACTGGCTAGAGCATTATACGCTGAAGCAGATATATATTTGTTTGATGATCCATTAGCAGCAGTAGATTCAGCAGTTGCTACAATTATTTTTGAACAATGTTTTAGTCACAGAGGCCTATTAAACGGTAAAACTCGCCTATTAGTTACACATCAAATACAATTTTTACATGAAACCAACCATTGTGTTTTATTGGATAATGGAAAAATTAAACGACAGGGACATTTTAATGAAATATTAACGGTAATACCAGAAATGAAAGAGTTATATGACCAACAGCAAGAACATATGAATGATGAGATTGCGAAACATAAAGATAATATCGGCGCTGAAGGTAGTTTTATTGGTTTATCTAAAACTTTTGATAAGAACAGTATTATTGAAGATGAAATATCTGTAAAAGGTAGTATCACTTCTGATGTATGGCTCAAATTATTTACATCAGGATATGGCTGGAGTGGATTAGTTTTATTAATATTTCTTATGTTACTGGGTGAAGCCACCTATGATGCTGATAATCGATGGTTAAGCTTATGGTCATCAAAATCACAAGATCAACAACGTGAAAACTACAATATCT